TCACGTGCAGATCACCAAGCAAACTATTACAGTATTACCAGCAAGTTTAATATTGCACTAACCTTAACTATAATTACAAACCTGACCCTAATAACAATTAAAAAAAATGCTCGTACGTATAATGAATATTATAATATTTTTTTAAAGAACAGTCACATTGATTTGGTAAATAACTTGCTTGCATGATCCACTAATACAATTTACTATATCTTTATTTTTTAAACTTTTTGTTTTCGGCCTGGTTGCGCAGGTCTTTAACAAAGATTATAATATTTTTTAAAACGATATTTAGATGATGAGTCTTTCTTAAAAAAAAATAAACCTATTTTACATACAACGATTTTTAAAAAGATAAATAATTTTTTAAAAAAATTCGCGTAATAAATGTTTTAAATATATTATTATGCATCAGCGTTTCTCAAGCTTTTTTAAAAAAATCTTTTAGCGTAATTGAAGTTAGTTATTTAAGATCGCACTTACATTAGCACTTGATTTTTAGAACAAATTCTCAAAAAGGTGATTTCTTGCACTAAAACGAACGAATTTTCAAGATTATGTTACGTTACATCAAATCGTGTCGTGGATGAATTTTTTGATGGTATCAAAAAAGTATATAAATTTTGGGGTACATCTAAGAGTATCAAAAAAGTAAGCGCAGGAGTCTCAAAAACATGAGCTTTGGTAAATGGCATGCCATCTGGCACTGGGGTGTTCTTTATCGGTCTAATTACAAACATAGTGCAGATCACATAATAATGAATGATTTTTTATAGATCAACGATTGTGTAATAGTAAAAACATACAAAAATCAAACTGCAATAACTCTTGAACCAGCAAACCCATACAAATAAATTTACATTTATCGGATTCATTTTAGCATACTCGTTAAAGTAACAACGCCTTTTTTTTAAAATTTATTTTATTGTTTGGAGCATAGCGGAGGACTCAATTTCAATGCAAAATTGTCGTTTTTGATGTTTTTTTAATAAAAACATCAAGCCCGTAACTTTGATTTTTTTTGTAATTGTATATTACAGTATTATGCTGATCGACAAAAAAATTCAAAGTTACGGGTTTGATGTTTTTATTAAAAAAAACATCAAAAACGACAATTTTGCATTGAAATCGAGTCCTCCGCTATGCTCCAAACAATAAAATAAATTTTTTAAAAAAGCGTTGTTACTTTAAAGAGTATGCTAAAATGAACCTGATAAATGTAAATTTATTTGTATGGGTTTGCTGGTTCAAGAGTTATTGCAGTTTGATTTTTGTATGTTTTTAATATTACGTGATCTGCCCCAATCTGGCACGCAAGGTTTTTTAGCTGTGCCACACACCCTACCGTGGTTAGTTGCATATCATATGAACAAACGTTCTAAACATTCGAAGACGATTTACTAGACCGTTTTGATAATTTTACTACCGTTGAATCGTCTCGATCTGAAGAACAATTTTTGTTAGAAGTCGAAAATAGGTTTACTTAGTATCAAATTGAGTTTCGGAATTTTTAATTATTTACTTGAGATGCATATTTGTTTCAAAATAACGCCCATGCGCGTATTCTAAATAACACATACTTAAAATAACGCGCAGATGAACGTTATTACGCGAAAACACGGTACATATTTTTTTTAATCAATTTCTACATGTTTTTACATTTTCTTTTGCACGTGTTTAAGTCCTTGGCATAAATAAAGCTAGGTTCGCTATCAAATTTTTTGTTCTTGTTTTGTAACCAATGTCTGAAATTCAATTTTTAATTTAGTTACAGATTATATGAATTTAGTTGCGTATTTAAACATATCTATATGCAAATTCACAAAATTTATTGCAGTCCGCAAGCTCCGCAACCCAATTTCAGACACTGGTTGTAACCTTTCAGGTATAATATATGAGTGCTGCAGTTTTGGACAGTAAAATTCCATTCCATTCTGGAAAATCAGAACAAATGTTTCCAAAACCATTAAGCATCGATTTTCTTGATACATCTTATACATTTTATTTTATTTTTTTTTTACAATATACGACCCGTAATAATTTAGTTAAAAAGAGTTAAAATAGATTTATTAAAGGATCTGTGTTACTTTTTTTAATGATTGGATGGATAAAATCGCATTTGTGACTACACTTTATACCATCCATGTTATGTAATAATTAAAACTCATCAGTATAACCCATTTTGACATTATGATTTAGGACCTAAACCAAGATTATTTCAGATATTGAACTTAAAAAAGATTCTAAAATATGGTAATAATATTATTGACGCTTACCAAGCATTTTTTCAGGCTTGACCCATTCATCGAATTGGTTCTCTGTTAAGACGCCCAATTGAGTGGCAGCTTCTTTAAGCTTTATAAATTGAAATTATAAATTTCATGTTCTGAACATACTAGTAAAGATTAATGTAGCCTAAAAACTTACTGTTAAATGTTCTTTATGTGCCTTCTTGGCCACAGAAGCAGCCTTATCATAACCTGAATTATTCAATCATCATAAAAAATTAAAACGAAATACCAATGTAAGAAAATTCATATTTAGTCCCTTACCAATATGGGGATTAAGTGCAGTTACAAGCATCAAACTTTGATTCATAATTTCATTTATCTAGAAAAAAATTTAGGTTAGAGAAAACCACGTTAAGATAATAAGGATAAAATATATATATATATTATTAACCTTCTTTTCATTCGCCTTTATTCCTACAATACAGTTTTTCGTGAAAGACTCACTTGCATCACTCAAAATTCGGATTGAATGAAGAAGGTTTTTAATCAACACTGGTTTAAAAACATTTAGCTGAAATACATTTACAATTAACGAAAGGTTAAATTGCAAGTTATTAAGATATTTAATAAAGTTAACGAACTTCGAAATGACCATATGAGCCAGAAATTGTGATTGTGGTATTATTTCCCATAACTTGAGCTGCCACCATTGTTATTGCTTCGCATTGTGTTGGATTAACTTTACCAGGCATAATCGACGAACCAGGCTCGTTTTCGGGAAGTGAAATTTCGCCAAATCCACAACGAGGGCCAGACCCTTTCCATATCAAGATTTTATATGTCAGGATACGACGTAAACTTTTAATGTCTCTTGATTACTCACCAAGGAAACGAATATCATTAGCAATTTTCATTATAGACACTGAAACAACGTTAAGAGCACCGCTAACTTCAACTATGGCATCGTGAGCTGCCAGCGCTTCGAACTGAAATAACACCATTTAATAAGTCTTGTTTTAAATAAATTATGAACCATATTTTCGTATGATTCGCACAATAATATCTAACCTTATTTGGAGCTGTCTGGAATGGCAATCCTGTGATTTTTGAGATTTCGGTAGCAATTTTAGCATCAAATCCTGGGGGAGTATTCAACCCCTAACGAATTTTTGAGTCACCTATATTTAAAAATCACTAATAATTTATGTATATAGAATATAGGTAAAATAATGATACTTACAGTACCAACAGCTGTACCACCTTGTGCGAGATAATATAATCTTGGAATAGTTGCCTTGATACGTTCGATTCCAAATGCCAGTTGTTGAGCGTATCCGGAAAACTCATTTCCAAGAGTAAGTGGCGTTGCATCCTGAAGTTTTAAAGAATTAAACTGTATTTCTATATAACTCAATATTTTAAGTTTCTCTTTTCATACCTGTAAATGTGTTCTCCCGATTTTGATTATATTTGCAAAACTTTTTGACTTTTCAAAAATGGCATCATGCAAACGCGTCAAAGCAGGAATAAGTCTCCTGTTTATTTCTATGGAAGCAGACACATGCATTGCGGTGGGAAAACTAAATTACAAACCATATCAAACACTGGTAAGAACGTATAATACAAATGAACGCAAAGTTAATTTTGCAACGGCATATATCTCACGTATCGTTGGAAGACTGGCCCATGTTCACGTGGTCATTAGGATGTACAGGATTTTTACTACCAAGCTGTCCACCCAGAATTTCGATGGCACGATTCGCAATGACCTGTAGCATAGTCAAATTACACGATTGTAATTATTGTATTTAAATCGGTCCTATATCAACTTACCTCGTTAACGTTCATGTTAGTTTGTGTCCCGGATCCAGTCTGCCAAACGACTAATGGAAAATGATCCAAAAGTTTTCCTTCGATCACCTGAATAAAAAGAGTTGAGTTTTCTTAATTTTTCCTTACTAATTTTATTAACTTACTTCATCTGCGGCTTGGACGATGGCATTGCCTATCGTTTGGTCAAGGCCATAAGACATATTAACAGTAGCAGCAGCCTTCTTTACGATGCCAAATGCTTTTATTAAAGGTTCAGGCATGCGTTCAGTGGGTCCGCCAATATTGAAGTTTTGGAGAGATCTTTCATGAAGAAGATCAATATCAGACTTCATCATTGAAAATAAGTGCTAAAATAGTAGCAATACCTTTGTGTTTGGGCCCCCCAGTATCGGTCCGCTGGGACTTCGAGTTCACCAAAGGTATCTTTTTCAATTCTATATTTTTGCTGAAAAGACATTGAGTTTAGAAAATTGTGATCAGAGTGTGGTGTACGAAATGATAATCCTCCATCGCCCATATATATATTGAAATATGAATTCACGTGATTTCAATCTTCACGTCACAAATTTTTAACAGAGCGACAGTAAAATAGATGAATCTACCAGTTGGTATGTAGCAATACTAAATTTTCGTGAGTTCAAACGAGCAACCTAATGTACATAATTAGCATATCTTAATACATAAGAATGGATGGCTGCGCATTTAATAGAGTGAGCATACAGGCATTACTCGCATAATATTTAAATTCCTTATCATTTTGGCGATAGTTCAACAAAAAAAAAAAAGGAAAGAAATTATTTTTAGTGCGAGATGATTTTAGTGAAATTGGTGTACATGCATGTAGATCATTGCATGCGATAATATATAACATCTAAGATCTCTAAGATCTAATGATAATCAGTGGGTTTTCTGATTTTCTTCGGTAGAAATCATACGATAATGGCTACGGAAAGGTAATTGCAAGATGCGCATATATATAAAATTAAAATGCATTTTTGTACAAATTTATCTTAAAATTTTCAATCACAAATGTGTATATGTTTAAATTTGTACAAAAAAGGAAGATTTTACTTCTTGGTTCTGGTTTTGTTGCTCGCCCAACAGTCGAATATATTTTACGTCGTCCAGAAAATCTTTTAACTATTGGTAAATTTCATTTGATATTAAAACATTATTAATAGCAGTTAAATTCATCTGTATAATTATATTTTCAGCTTGCCGGCGCATATCTCATGCTGAAACTCTTTCTCGATCATTTCCCCGGGCGACACCAATTGCACTTGATGTTGCCAATGAAACAGCTCTCGATGCTGTAGTTTCAGAGCATGATTTAATCATCAGGTATAGTTAATTTTGAATATTTACAAGTTGTAATATTTAACCATACAAAATTCTTACAAATTAACATTTCTCACTAGTCTTATTCCGTACATACTTCATCCTCTTGTGGTCAAATCTGCCCTTAAATTCAAAAAG